CCTTTTTGTCCGTAAGAAAGATGGATCGATGAGACTATGCATTGACTATCGCCAGCTGAACAAAGTGACAATCAAGAACCGTTATCCTTTACCCCGTATTGACGACCTGTTTGATTAATTACGAGGTGCGACTATTTTCTCAAAGATCGATCTCAGATCAGGTTACCACCAGATTCCTGTGAAACCAGAAGACATTCCATAGACAGTGTTTCGTACGCGTTACGGACACTATGAGTTTATCGTTATGCCCTTTGGCTTAACAAACGCACCAGCTGTATTTATGGATCTCATGAATAGCGTTTTCAGACAGTATTTGGATCAATTTGTTGTGGTCTTCATCGATGATATTTTGGTCTACTCAAAAACACCAGAGGATCATGCTGAACATTTGCGCATCGTGCTGAGTATTTTGAGAGAGCATAAACTCTATGCCAAACTTTCTAAATGTGAGTTTTGGCTGAATGAGGTCACTTTTCTCGGTCACGTGATTTCTGCAGAAGGAGTCAAAGTTGACCCGTGCAAAATCTCAGCAATCACTGAATGGAAAACTCCATGCAATACCCGTGAGGTACGGAGTTTCCTTGGACTCGCTGGTTATTATCGCCGCTTCGTGAAGGATTACTCTCGAATCGCTACACCACTGCATAAACTGATGAAGAAGGATGTCAAGTTCGCTTGGACTGAAGCTTGTTAGAAAAGCTTTGAACAGTTGAAATTATGTTTGACTCAGGCACCTGTGTTAGTTCAACCGACACCTGGTACTGAATATACAGTTTTTAGTGACACATCACATCAGGGACTTGGGTGTGTACTAATGCAGGAAGGCAAGGTCATAGCTTATGCATCACGACAGCTGAAACCCCATGAGTGCAATTATCCGACTCATGACTTGGAGTTAGGAGCTGTTGTTCTTGCATTGAAGATTTGGAGACATTACTTATATGGCGAGCCGACTCGCATCTTCACCGATCACAAGAGTCTACAGTATCTGATGAGTCAGAAGGAGTTAAACCTTCGACAGAGAAGGTGGCTAGAGTTGATTAAGGACTATGACTGCCACATCGCTTACCATCCCGGTAAAGCGAATGTGGTAGCCGATGCTCGTAGTCGCAAGACTCTTGCTGAACTCCGCATACGACCTACGTTGGATCACGATATCATTTCAGCACAGCGACAGGATACTTTTTGTCTCGAGACACGTGAGCTTGTTTCCAAAGGAGAGAAACAAGACTTTTCTGTTCGAGATAATGGTACACTATGTTAGAATAAGTGACCAACGCTAGAGGGGGGTGAATAGCGTTTGATCAAGAATTCGCAGGAATAAAAAAATTAAGAGCGTGAAACGTAAAGAGCGTAGAAAGCGTAAAGGGAGCACACCAAGATTTATACTGGTTCACCACAACGTGTGGCTAATCCAGTGTCCCGAGAGACTCTCTTGAGCTACACTACTTCCGTTAAGCTTACGGGTGCTTAACAAACCGTTACAACCTGAGAACTCGAGTCCCACGAGCCTCAACAACACTTGCTCGGAGATACCGCACTCCAAGACTTCAACCCGAAGGAAAATACCTTTCCTTCGTACAACCAAGGGAAACAAGCTTCCCTTAACGTGTATACAACACTAAGACACTCAAGAACAAGACTCTCTTTAAGAGTGGATATGAGTAAACTAAGAACGCTCAAGAACACAACACAAGCTTCACAAAAATGGCTCTCAAAAGCTATGAATAATTAAAGAATGATTTGCAATGAAGGAGTAGGAGTTGTGAAGTAATGTGATATGTAAAACAGACCCAAACACCCCATTTTATAGTGGAAAAATAGGCTCCAACGGACCAAAACATTTAAGGGGTGATTGGCACAATTTGTGGGATTTGATTAAAATTGGATCTGCTGAAAATCACCTAGACAGCGCTGTCCTAGGCCTGGACATCGCTGTTCTAGGCTTGGTTTTTAAAAATTGGGAAGCAACGGTCATGCCAACAGCGATGTC